ATTTTTTTTTTCTTTTGTTTTTTTTTTTAAATGTTGGTTTCGAAATCATTTAAATGTTTTGGCAAATCCTCTATTTAACAAACGATTGCAAGTAATTACAAAAACAGTTTATCTATAAATTAGCCTCTTAAATAGATCATTTTGAGACAAAAAAAATCTCTTATAAGTTACACGATTTCAAAGTAATCTAGTTTTATAAAATTAAATCTTATTCACTCTTAAGCTGGACATAAAAACTAGTTTAAATCATTTGTTTTCTTTTTTCATTAATCTAATAAATAAATATTTACATGAAGAGGCATAGAAATCCATCCAATGATCCCAAACTTCACACAACTCAACAAAAAAAAAAGCCGCAAAGTTATTTTTGTATGGAACTGAAAATTTGCTCAAAAAAATTGTTTTAAATGATAAAGATATAGACATTGGTAAAATAAAAATTATTATATAGTAATATTTTTATTCAGGGTCAATTTAAAAAATGATAGACATTTATTCTACTTTGTAATAATATATATTAAATATTTTAAAAAATTTATAAGATTAGCAAAATATATAATTTTAAATAATTACCCAGAATAGACTGGCTTCTATTATTGTGGGCATTGGAAAGGAGATTGAACTTGAATTTATCGTGTGAAAAATGCAAAACTTTAAATGATTGAAAATCCCGTGGGCATAGCGGGCGGATCTGTGCGTAGCCATATATGTTATTTTATTTTATTTTTCTGTTCTAAAAAACATGATTTATTAAAGACAAATAAAAAAAAATAGCCTTCTAAAAAGTTTTATTAGAGTTCGTTGGATTAAAAGTTTTACTAGTTTTCTATCAACAGGATGAAAAAAGGAAAAACAAATAAAGAATAGTGTTTATGCAAGAATATGCACAACAGTGTTTTTCAGATTGCAGCTCGAACTCGGCCTTCGGACCGACCTGAATACTTGGGCGGACCTACACAAAAAGGTGAGCACTCCGACGATCAAGTCAGTATAGGTCGGATTCCCAGTTTAGTTCGAGGTCAGAAATCA